AAAACACTCCTACTCGTGTGTTAAATAGTACATAATTATACAACTAAAATATACATACATAGTCGATAACAGCACATATTTTCAAGCTGCTTTGTAGACTGCTGTTAGCTTCGGATGACTTTACTGGACCTTAATAGAGTACAATCTGAGTAGAGTATATATACACTGTGGCTGCAATAATATATAGTACATGAAAAAAAGATGTCAATTCTGATAGGCTGAGAGCAGTGCAATTTTGAGAAAATACAGTGCAGATATCAAGAATTGTGCAAAATGCAACCATGCACTAAACGATCGTAGGATGAAAATATTGGTTGCAGTTGCAACTAAACGAAGAATATATTGCTACTTCTGGAGGGGGAGCCTGGCTGGCTAACTGAAAGACCATCTGGCCTGTTGCTAATGCTAAGTATTATTGTAACAGTAAATAATATGATTGTTAGCTGTCAGATTGTGTGTACAATATTATCAATTTCAATTTAATCATGCGGCGAAATTCACGCTTCGAAATCAACGTATGAGAAACGCACATCTCTATCGTTAGTTATTAGTATAATTACATAGGTGATTATTAAAATTCTCCACGCTGATTGGTTGCCGTTGAGGTGATTATAACGCGATAATCACCTAAGCGATTTTTGGCGGCCGAAGCCGTTTTGTCAATTAAATGACGAAGAAATACTCATTAATAATTCATAAACCTTGTGGCAAATCTTGTCAGCCATAATATGTCACGTGATGTGACTTTATATCTGATAAAACACATGCATGCATGTAGCCTCCTGCGCAGACGTTGTTAGTGGCCGAGCCTCGGAATGTGGCATTATATAATTCGTCATCCTAATTAGTATTATTATATAATTGTTCATCCTAATTAGTATTCTTTTGTAGTCGAATTTTAAGCTATTCAAAACACTCGTTGTCGTGTTTTATCAGACATAAAACGCTCGGCTGCGCCTCGCGTTTTATATATAATAAAACGCTCCTCTCGTGTTTTAAATAGTACTAAAACAATTATTCACCTCAGGCTCGGTGTATATTATCGTGAATAAAAACCTCGACTTCGTCTCGGTTTTTATTCACCGATATAATCACCTCGGCTTCGGCGACTAATTGTTAATTGCATAATTTAAATCTGCTGGCTACACTTATTTTTATTTTTATTTTACTTTTTTGTATGAACCCAAGTATACAGGCATGTTTGCTTTTATTAATATTAAATGCATACACGCATGCAAATTTAAGAATACAAACGATTAAGGTTAGTTGCGCGAATGAGGTATATGACCGCATTTACTGAGCAAATGGAAAACTTAAGTTTCATATATTAATTCATAAAAATGCTAAGGATACTGTAATTCGTATCTCTGTAGCGCCAATTAATTTTGCTTTGTTAGCAAGAACTTGTTACTGTACCTATGCAGTAGTTTTTCTTTCATCACATTACATTCTCAATCTTGTTTTACAGTTCAAACTAATTCTAGAACATTTTAATATTCCTACTGGAATTGTACAGATTGGACATATAATACTGCAGCAAAGAAAATATTAATCCTTACCATCAACATCTTGAATCAAATGTTGTTCAACTTCAGGCATGTGAGATATCTCTTCAATGCTAACATTTCCATCTGTTTCCTGCAACACTAAAAAAATTAAAAATAGAAATGTATTACTACTTTTAAGTTGTACTTAAAAGTACACCACAATTGTATACACCATAAAATTGACAACTATACGACCATTACATGTATATGACAAAAATCAGTACATCAGATCAGTTGTACTAAATTTTTCCTTAACTATTTGTGTGTTACAAACAGCCATAATATAGAACTAAAGTGAGGTTTAAATATCCAAAAGAGATGACTTACAACAAATTGCAAACATATTATTCCCATAAGTGCATCTTTCTTGAATTTCCATTACACAGAGAGCAAAGTAACAATGTTTGTTTGTGTTCAATTAGTTGAATACTTTGATATGCCAATTTGAAATCTTTCACGCTCAAGCAGGGCTTTCAGAATTATTCTGAGTAGGTGGCTGTGTTGATAACGCAGGTACTGTAGTTGTGGGAAGGTCTAGGGAGTATTAAACTCGTCCAAATTAACTAGACATAAGCCGCTGTAACCCTATACAGAGGGTATAAAAAAAAACTGAACAGATTTGAAATTGCACTCAATTTCGAAAAAGAGCCATTAGTATCCAGTTTTTTATATATATGGCTTTTTTGGGTACTTATAATGATGATCTACAATAATGGAAAAAATTTCTCGAACTCAAATTTTGTAACCCAGGGAGGTGTGTCTATTCCGACAAACTAAAAATGGCTTGCGCACGAGATTTAAAAGCTATAATCGTATTTTGAGTAAATGGATGAAAAATATGTTGGGTGTTTAATTGCTGCACGAAATTTCAGACAATTTGCTTCAGTTTAAGCCCTTCAACTATTCACGCAAACTTACATTTTTCCTAAAAAATCAGCAATTTGCATGCTTAATGCATTTGCCCAATTTGCATATGGCAGCAATATGCAAATTAGGTAAAGGCATTAATTAAGCATGTGAAAGGCTGATTTTTTAGGGAAAAATGGAGAGTTAAAGGACTTAAACTAAAGCAGATTGTCTGAAATTTTGTGCAGTAATTAAAAACCCAACAAATTTTCCATCCATTAACTCAAAATACAATTAAAGCTTTTAAATTTCGTGCGCAAGCCATTTTTAGTTTGTTGGAAAAGACCCCCCCCCCCTGGTTTACAAAATTTGAGTTCATTATTCTACCTACCAGAATTTCATTATTCTATCTTATAAGTACCCAAAGAAGCTATATACATAAAAAACTAGATACTAATGGCTGTTTTGCGCAATTGAGAGCAATTTCAAATCTGTTCAGGTTTTTTTTGTACACCCTGTATAATTATGTATCACTATACTTTAACACTTTCTCAGGCTATAAACTTTGATGGAAAGATTAAAGTGGAGGAAGGAGAGCAGAATTGATATTTCAAGTACTAAAAAACTTAAGGCCGCTGGCATATAATGAAAGCTCCGCTCAAGTATATGTCACGATTCAAAAACAGAAAGCATCACTTGGATGAGCAGATGACATTACAAATTTCATTAGCATCATACTTGTGTGTTGTATATTTTCCACCCAAATTCCCATGAGGATTTTGAAATCACTTTCATCAACTGAGGTCTTCAATAAAAAAAAACAACTAGCAATTAATCTCCACAATTTGGCACATCTATTCACAATAACTGAATGTGTACGTACTGTCAACTGGCGCAACACAACTTCCACTTCAGTGTCTGCTATTTGAACACAATGACCTTCAAGACATCTGCTCAGAGCAATATCCAGTCCAGTTGGATCAACGAGATTGTGAGAACCTGACCACGAAGTTCCAGAGTCGAATCTACAATGTAAAGAAACAAACTGTAGAGAAATGAGCCGAAGATACAAGGAAATAATATACGTGCCACAATAATCTTGTTCGTTTTATATAGCACTTGAAGGGCCCAAAACTGTTTATGAGCACTTGAAGGGTCCACGACTGTTTCATATACCATAACATCAAGCACATAACATAACGAACAATCTACACTGGTGTCTCAAAGACGTTATGCTGTTTGATTTAATGTAATCTAAAAACTAGAACAGTTATAGTAGCTTTTATTGAGCTATTAATTTAATTAATAGATATTAATTTGATAAATAGTAGTCGAACTTTCATGCAATATATAGATATAACTGTTTGGTTAGATATATATGGTTAGAAATCACTGCCGTGTCGGCGGTTTCATATGTGATAAAAAATCATGTTCATTTACATAAACTTTAGAGTAGATGGTTCGTTTTTCAAGCAGAGGCCGCAGAAGCATTTCGAAAGTGGAGGGGCATTGGCCAAAAGGGGCATTTTTGTATATGACCAAAATCGAACGGTTTTATATGTCGTTCACGAGACGAACGAAAATTTTTAAAATATGGAGTCTCTACAATGTCGGAAATGGCCTTTACAGAGTCTTTACTACTGGAAAAAGGACACCGTTCTTTCCAGCAAAAGGGGGCGTTCATTCATGCAAGGAATACTTTTTTCTTTCTTTAAATGGGGCACTTTAGCTCAGAAAAAAGGACACGTTTTTCACGTTTAAAAAAGAGGCACATGCCCCCATTGCCCCCCGAGGGTTGAATATTAAAATAGAAACGGTAATGAAAAATTTGGCGAAAGTTGTTGATAAAACCAATACAAATATACAAGTCATATGAAACTCCATCTTTGCACATATGAAATTAATAGCAATGAACAGTGGAATTTAAATGCAATAGCAAAAAGTATGTCCGTTACAAAAAAATCCCAGATTGTGTATTCTATCCTTCCATCTACCTCTATCTAGGTCAGAGGTTTGCAGTTTTTGTCCTAACCACATAAGACAGTGCAAAGATGAAGTTGAAAACTGTCACTGTTGTTCACAATTACAGACAGTTTTAATTCATCAAACTTGGATTTCACATAGTTGCTCAGTACATTAATTTTACAATTTTGGTTGCCTTTTGTGGCCCTTTGAACCAAAGCAAAAAATCTGGAAGATCTTGCACGACCACTAACCAAGAAATTGGGACAACATCAGGTGGCAATTGGTTCAGAACATGCAAAACATTCAGCACATGCATGCAAAACTCAATATTAAAATGATCGATTATTAATTCCTAATAGCATGATTTTCTCACCAAGGCAATGCATTCGTGGAGAAATATATCGATCTTTGAAACAGTTATGCAAATATGCAATACACACGTTCTACTGACAACAATAATACTGTTTATCATATTTAACCAAATACTAATTGATGGGCCGTGTTACAGTGCACAGTACTGCCTAGAAATAAGTTTACAAAAACCGCGGTTAACCGCGGCTTCACCGTGGTTCATCCTAGGTTCGACCTCAGGCCGACCTCGGTTCGACCTCGGGTCAACCGCGATTGAACCGCGGATCGCCCGCTGTTACACCGCGGTTGTGTGGGAGAAGTAAGGTTTGATCGTAATTCACGGCGGAACCGAAAGCAGCACGACTTTACCGAGTGTAAATACTGTATTTTAGAAATCAGAATTAACAAGATTTTTGCGAGACGAACGACGAAACGAGACGAAGTTTGGGAAGCAATATAACCTGCCTGACAGGCGGTCCCTAAAATCGGGCAAGCCTGGGAAAGACCGCCTGCTGGGTTTGGCAGTGTAATCAAATTCCCCGTCCACCAATGGACGGAAATTGATGATTGGCTGCGAGTCTGAGCCGCTGTCACTCAAAAGTGAATACGCTTTTAATATGTCACGGCATAATATCAGAACGCTTCTCGAAAATTAAACGCGAACTGATTGTCAAATCTCAAACGCGAGCAAGAGATAGCAGTTAAATATTTACTCCTTCTAAAGAATGTTTTGGCCGTTCTACCTACAGGTTATGGTAAAAGCTTGATTTTAACATTGTTCTTGTTGGCGCGAGAAAATATACTGTAACGAGAATAAATACAGACCGCCGTAGAGTCTTAATATTGAAACGGGTTTAACAGGACTACTACACCTAGGCCTGTTAGCCGCTTCACTTTCTGAACTTTTTAAGGCTTTCTTTAACACACGGCTTCGTTCGGGAGACGAGACAGTTTTAAATATTGGCAACCGACGTTTTTATACAACAGTTACCCTTTGGACATAAACAGTATACCTGCTTTCCTCCCAGCGGAAGAACCCCTTCCAAAGATTTCTGAGATTGAAGTCTACAGCAAATTGGCCAAGATTAACCCCTACAAAGCAAGTGGCCCTGATCACATCCCCGCACGTATTCTAAAGGAATTTTCTTTCGAGCTCTCGAAACCAGTTGCACGGGTTTTTAACGTTTCTCTTTCCGAAGGAGTCACCCCAACTGCTTGGAAAAAGTCTGAGATAATACCTATAACAAAAGTTCAGCCTGTTTCTGATGAAGGTGACCTTAGACCTATATCCTTGACTCCCTGTCTCTCCAAAGTATTGGAGGACTTTGTGGTAAATTGGATCATTTCGGACTTAGGTCATAAAATCGACCCCCAGCAATTTGGCTGTTTAAAAGGCACTTCCACTACTTAGTGTCTTCTCGATATCCTTCATAACTGGCTAAATCACCTCGATAACCCTGGAAAATACATCCGCGTTTGCTTCCTTGACTTTTGTAAAGCATTCGATCGGATCGACCACAACATCGTCATTTCGAAACTTATCAACCTCGGCGTACGAAGAGCCTTGATCCCGTGGATCTGTAGCTTTTTGTCTGGTCGGATGCAGTCTGTAAAAGTTAATCATTTTACCTCTAACTATGAAATTACACCCTAAAAAGTGCAAGGACTTTACCATCTCTTTTCTTCGCAACCCCCCGCAAGAACTGTCTTCTACATTGTCGATCAACTCCCAACCTTTAGAGAAGGTCACCTGTTTTAAACTGCTAGGAGTCACCTTACAAAACGATCTAAAATGGAACGCCCATGTTGACTCTATCACGTCCAAAGCTTCAAAGAGACTTCATATTTTGCGAGTTTTGCGTAACTCTGGTGTCTCTGCCAACGACCTCCTGACTATCTACATTTCGATTATCAGATCTGTGCTAGAATACTGCTGTGCAGCCTGGAATACATCTATCCCCTCCTACCTTTCCGACAAAATCGAGAGGGTTCAACGTCGTGCTCTACGGATTTTATATCCAAACATGTCCTATTCAACCGCGCTTGCTACCTCCTCTCTTCCCCATCTATCCGATCGTCGTGATACTCTTTGTAAGAAGGTTTTGGATAAAATAACAATACCATCATCACGCCTTAACCGCATTTTACCTCCGACCCGGATTGAGTCGCATGGCAGAGAACTGCGCCACTCTAGTAATCTTAGCCTATTTAAGTGTAGGACGGACAGATTTAAGAACAGTTTCTTCCCAGCTATGTGCTCACGTACTATGAACAAGTCATGACCGTTGTCAATTAGGTTTACAATCTAAATTTCCATTTTTATATAACTCCAATTCCAAGTTTTAAAAAGTAACAGTAGTCTTCATAATTTTATGCTTGTAAAAATACTATAATTCACTATTACTTGTATTAGTGCGATTGTATTTTAAATATACCGTCTATTATTATTATTGTTCGATACGTGCACAGGAAACGCGCTTATGTCTCGTTTGATTTAATATGACAATCAGTTCGCTTGCGTTTCGGATCTTTCGCCCACACGGTTTACAAACTCGGTCGGATTGTTCCCAGGTAGAACAAACTTCGATTCCTAAATGAACTGAACACAATTCGTGATCGGCTTATTCATCGGCCAAGGTTTTGCCACTGTTCTAATCGTTTCTTTTGCTTGCCTTAAATATAAAATTTTCCGACAATATATAAGATATTTTCTCTATTGCCCCGTGTTTTAGTTTCAAAGCACACTTAATACACAAACAACAGTGGTCATTAACATTTTCCACGCTCGCTTTTCTACATGTTGTCGTTATTCAGAGGTCCTGATTGAAACTTCCAATGGCGTTTCTTTCGACATATTTTATATTTGCAATTTTGCAACCAAACAATAACATGTTTGAGTGTTTGACAGTTTAATTATTAATATATTTCCCAAGCCAACGGCGCGGAGCGCCGTGCGAGGGTACTAATTCCGTCTGGCTATTTACACCCGGGAAAACGAAAGCATCAGCAGAGTCTGAAGTTCATCAATGATTGCGGGCGTGGGTGACCACAACCTCGTACCCAGGGCTAGTCGCGAATTGAAGGCGGCGACATAGCCCTGGTAAACGCTGGTCACGTGTCAGGCAAATACTCCAAGATTCTTGGAGTATTAGCCTGCGAGCGGGCTTTGTGGAAATAAAGACAGGGGGGCGTCGAAAAGTTCACGAATGGAACTTGAATTGCCGCGGATTATTTATATTCTTTTATTTTTTGTTGTAATCTTTCTTCTTAATATGTTACGTTTATATATTACGTCGAATGTACATCTTCTTTTATGTAAATCGCCGAGGAGGCGATGTTTCGAATTTCGAAGCAGTGAAAATGGAGCCAATCTCGTACCTACTATTTGTGATGATTTCCACCAAGTATAAAAAGGTACAGTATATATGAATTTGAAAATGTTTAGAAGTATTTCATTGTTACAAATTATTTAGCAGATTCCCATTATTTGTTACATTGTCTAGCTCTATGAAATATATATTTCGAAGGCTATTTACTGTAATATATTTTATACAGTATGTTAATATAGTTAGCTGAATTTGTACAATTGTAGTTAAATATTGTGAATATTGAGAAACACATGGCCAGACTATGGCCTATAATACTATACTCAGACTCTCAGTA